TTTTTTTTGCAAAAACGGTAAATTGCAAATATCTCAAAAACGGTACCATAAAATTAAAAATAACCTTGATTTTCGGAATCAGGGGGTGATTTTACATACGAATTTCATAACGGCGTCTCTGGTAAATTTTGGCCGTCGACCAGTGTGATCAACCAGTCCATGTCGTTTCCTCTGCAACTCGACCATCGTGCCCGCTCTGCTACACGGAACGGAAAACGTACATAAAATTAATGTATTTGGACGTTAATATTAATGAAAATAATAGTTGATTTTGTGCCAAAGAACATGAAATTTAATGAACGGCGTTCATAGACCCGAATGTTTATGAACGAATGTTATGAATATGAATGAAACTAATGAACATGCTCATAAAAATTTAATGAATAGGTTCATAAAATATTGTGAACTTTTTTCATAGATTTTATGAATTTATTTGTAGGTTTATATGAATTTTTCATAGATCTCAATGAAGATATTCATTATTTTTATGGACTTATTCATGAATTTGCAAAAAGAAAACAGCACAAAATTTTTTTGGTAAATTTTTTTGGTACATTTTAATAAAATCAATTCATTAAAAAAAAACAGTATTCAATAACATTTCAATACAAAAAATAAAATTTTGCAAGTTTTATATGAATAAAGTACCAAACATCCTTTCGAAAAAAAATTGCCAAAAATCAGGAACTCAAGATTTTTACATTCTTATACTAGAATTGAGTAGGCCACAAAACTGCGTACTCAGATAATTTCTTAAAATTCCAAAAAAAAATTTCAAAACTTTTGAATAATTTTTCAAAAATGTATTTTTTTTTTTAATTTTGAAGTTCCTTAAATTGATTTTAGCTGTTTTTATTGTGGAATTGTATAAAGTCTTTTTTAAATAACGAAAAAGGCAAAATTAAGAGAATTAGCTGAGACTTGTCTTAACATTTTGCTCCTATTTCATTGTGGATAGCTGTATGTATAGTATTGAGGAAAATGAACACTTTAAATAAGTCTTTTTTTTTGACTAGGTAGCAAATTCAAATTAGATTAAAAAAATCAGTAAAATAAATTAAATAACCACTTCACTCTTCCAGCTCTTGTATCAAGATATTAATTTTGGGTGTTGTTTTCCCGCGCGACTTAGAAAAATTATAAAAATATGCTTCAATGAATGTCCAAAAATTGGAAATTGCTGTAGGGTATTCAACATTAAATAAGTGAAACGATTTAAAGCATACATCAACGCATCGATAAAAGTTTGTAAATCGCATCTTGGTATCATCCAAATATAAAAAAAATTCGTCGAATTTTGAAAAAAATGTTTCGCTNATTTTTATGGACTTATTCATGAATTTGCAAAAAGAAAACAGCACAAAATTTTTTTGGTAAATTTTTTTGGTACATTTTAATAAAATCAATTCATTAAAAAAAAACAGTATTCAATAACATTTCAATACAAAAAATAAAATTTTGCAAGTTTTATATGAATAAAGTACCAAACATCCTTTCGAAAAAAAATTGCCAAAAATCAGGAACTCAAGATTTTTACATTCTTATACTAGAATTGAGTAGGCCACAAAACTGCGTACTCAGATAATTTCTTAAAATTCCAAAAAAAAATTTCAAAACTTTTGAATAATTTTTCAAAAATGTATTTTTTTTTTTAATTTTGAAGTTCCTTAAATTGATTTTAGCTGTTTTTATTGTGGAATTGTATAAAGTCTTTTTTAAATAACGAAAAAGGCAAAATTAAGAGAATTAGCTGAGACTTGTCTTAACATTTTGCTCCTATTTCATTGTGGATAGCTGTATGTATAGTATTGAGGAAAATGAACACTTTAAATAAGTCTTTTTTTTTGACTAGGTAGCAAATTCAAATTAGATTAAAAAAATCAGT